TAGGAACACTTGCTGGGGTAGGAAACCCCCATGGCCCTGAGTGTCCTGAATGTTACTGCCAGGCATGCCAAGAATGCCAGGCCCTTGCCATGCTTTATCCAGGCTCAGGGCTGTTGCAGGGAGCAACCCTGAGAAAGGAGGACAAACCATGAGTTCATCACCACTTGGTGTGAAAGCAGCGAGACCCCCAGCTCAGCGTGCCCTCCTGCGACAAGTGTCCCACATGTGCACGCCCTCATCCAGGCCCATCTGCCTGACAGCCATGGACTAGGGGAACCAAGGCCAACAGGGAGCTCTGGCTACTGGTTCTTCTGTGAGTGAACTCTGACCCAGGAACCTCGTGCCTCCTGCCAGCATCTGGAAAACAAGAACATGCCAACTGGTTAGTGTGAAGCAGGTGAAAGTGCAGCCCTTCACAGCTCTTGACTCAACCCCAGAGAGCACAGGTGAGCCAAGGCAGGGGGTGGGTGCACAGAGGGGGCTGGGGTGCCAGTGTGAATGTGAGCCTGGCCTTGCAGTGACCACACCAGGAAAGTCATGAGAAACAACCTCCAGGGCACAGGCATGCTGAGGCTGGAGGATGGACATGCAGAGAGAGTGGGGAGCTGATGTGAGTGCAAGTTCTGGACTGTGCTGTGTCCATATCAGAAGAACCAGGGAGAAAGGGCCACTGGGCCCAGGCCAGGCTGCAAGGTCTCTAAGACATGTGGCTGGGGCAGAGCACCACCAGGGGCTGTGAAGGACTGTGAAGGAGTGAGACAAAGCACAACATGGAAGGAAGCCCCTTCCCCCTTCTAACGCCCTCACTACAACACTTCACATCACGCTCACTGTAAGGAGCCCCAATCAGAGAGTCTAGTCTATGAATGCTGTGCGGGTGCTGCAGCAGAGACTCAGACCTGAGAGGTAATACACCCATAACAGCCCAGTCCACTCTTTAGCTACTAGGTGTCCATCAGCAAAATTTCACACACATGTGGACTCCCTTACAATAACTAAATAATTCTATTTCTCCCTAAAAAGACACAGTCATCTTGTGACAAGTGAAGTTCTCCCTCAAATGAGAAGATGCACAGACCCAACAGTCACGACACCCATCGCTATACTTGGTCCTCAAATTCAGTCATGGTTCCCCTGAAAATTCAGTCACCTAAAGATTAAACCAAAATGCTAACCTCCAACAACTTGTTTATAAAATAAAAATCGGGAGGAGAGAGGAAAATGGTTAGGAAATAAATATATGTATATAACAAGCAAAAAAATATACCAAGCGGCTACAGCCCTCATTTCTGTAACTGGTAGTGAGATGAGGTTGTAGGTAACATCATGGCTTCCTTCCTCAGCTGTCCATTCTTTAGCTCCTTTGCCCTCAGGTAGAACCTGCTCTGGGTACCTCAGTGGGTAGAGTAATCAAACCCTTCATTTCTGAAGAACCTGAGTCTTCAATAGTCTTACTGCTTTTTTTTTATTTGTATTTTTTGGTGGTGGTTGTTTTTCATTAACTGGTCATGAAAGTATTAAGAGATGCCCCAGTTGCCCAGGTGCCCCTGGGCACCATAGTCCTCCTGGCCTCCATTGTGTTGCAGTAACCCAACCCCGACCCCCTCCCCCACCATTGGTAATGGGGATCAATCACTCAAGCCAGTAGATTAACCCTTTTTTTTTTTTTTGCCTGCTGGTTCCGAGGCATAAGGAGCCCAAAGTGGCCAGGTGGCAATTTCAGCCTCCAATTCAGTGGGACCATTACTATGACACCGAGTGGAAGCATTCCCCTCTGGAGACGAAGATCTCCAAACCACCTCAAAGTTGCCAGGACAAGAAACAAAAATCCTGTAAGTAGGTTAGTCAATGTTCTAGTGAGAAGAGCATTCTGGCTGTGGGGACATGGCACCACGTAACGGCCCCTGGTTCAGAGTGTCTATTGTATCTGGTAGTACAGAATCCCTTTCAGGATGCTGCCTCCTATCTGGCATCATAACTGACTCTTCAGGAAGCTATTCCACCTTTCATCCACTTCTGAGCTATGGGACGTGTGATAACACCACTCAGTTTCATGGGTATGAGCATACTGCTGCACTTCCTTTGCTTGAAGTGAGTTCCTTGACCACAGGCAATGCTGTCCAGAATGCCTTTACAGTAGCTAAGGCTTTAGTGAGGTCATGGATGCTGGTGCTTCCAGAAGCAGGATGGACAGGGAAGTGAAATCCACACCCAGAATATATGTCTATTCCAGTGAGGACAGATCTCTGTCCCTTCTATGATGGAAGAGGTCCAATGTAATCAACTTGCCACCTGGCGTCAGGCTGGGCACCACAGGACTCACTGCTGGTCTCGGCTGCTGGGAGCTCAAAGCCTGGTCAGCTTTGGTGAGTGGAAGGCCATGATGATGAGCACATGCACGCATCCATGCCTGCCACTTGATCACTTCACTCATGGACACAGTGAGCAACTCCTGGAGCAGAGGCAGTCAGAGCTGGCTGAACAGAGCACTTGGACAAGACATGTCTAGGCACTGTCCAGCTCTGACACAGCATCGATCACTCTCCAGCTGATTATTCAGAGCCTTTTCTGCAGTGTGTGCCAGTGGATGGCTCTTCCAGAAGCCAAATTTCCAAATCTGTTCCGTCCAAGTTGCTAATTATTAGTAGCCTTCCCTCAATTAATATACATTCATATACCGGCCACTTCTCACGCAAGACATAGTAGACAACCCAATGTGAGTCTCAAAGTTCAGCCCCTGAGAGGACTTCCCTTCGCCATTGTTTGTAGGGTCCCCTTGAGTGGGGCCATGGTGCTGTATCTGTCCACTTAGGGTGGGATCAGCATATCCTGCAGACCCGCCTGTAAACCGAGCTCACGTTTTTTCTTCCACAGTCAACTAGTCATAAGAAAGAGGCTGGGTGTTCGGTTGGCGCACGGCCCAGAGCATCCTGGAGAAGGAGGCGGAAGGTGTTATGTGGGAGGTGTTATGTTGCCAACAGGGAATCAGGAAGGACAAGGGAGAATTACATTCTATTTCAAAGAAAAGCCAGGAAACCGCTCCCATCTTCCCCACCGGTACTTCCAGGAACGTGGCCTAGTGCTGGGGTCCAACCCCAGCGGGTCCAGGGGTCCCCAAAGGTGTGGATGGAGTCGGCGAAGAAGGAATGACATGGAGGCAGCGTTCAGTTGATCAGCATAGCAAGGTTCTCCCGCCAGATTCTGTCGCCAGGTTCTTTAGCCAGGTTCTATCCAGGTTCTTTTGCCATGTTCTGTCTAGGTTCTCCAGCCAAGTTCTGTAGCCAGGTTCTGTCCAGGATCTTTTGCCATGTTCTCTCGCTAGGTTCTGTCTCTAGGTTCTGTGTAGGATCTCCAGCCAAGTCCTGTCTCTAGGTTCTGTCTCTAGGTTCTTCAGCCAGGTTCTCTCACTAGGTTCTGTGTCTAGGTTCTGTATGTAGTTGTCTTGTTACATCTGTATTTATACCAGTTGATTCCAATCCTATCAATCTCTATTCCAAAGGTTAGAGCGTTTCTTATCTCCCATTCCAGAGAGTAAAGATTATGTAGCTTAAGCGTGATTGTTCGTAGTTAAAGTGATTAACTACCCGCCTGGCACTTAGTTAAGGGGTTTTATTCCCTCCCTAACTTCAGGGAAAAATTCCTACCTGAGGAAACAACCTTTCTCGGAGAGGTGACCTTGGTTAAAACACATAGCGCCAAGAAGGGGAGCAAACATATTAAGAACAGTATGCCATATACGCCAGGTCCCTTGAAACATGCTGTGCAGATGTTTCTTCCCTGCAGCGACTGTGTCAAGCAGCAAGGATGGACCAGCTCCCGGCAGCCTAGAGTCAGCCACCACTCTCTAAGAGCCAGCCTGTACCCCTTTACCTTCAGTTTGTGATTAAAATTGCTTAAGAAAAAAAAGAAAAAGAAAAGAAATAGGCTGGGGGTCCAGGCTGGGACAATTCAGGTCCCAAGGCTCACAGCCCCACGCTATTTCCAGGCTATGCTTCTGGGTATTGAATAGACAAGAAGTTTCCGGTAAAACAGATGACAACAGAACAACTGTGTCTACAGACATCTTTGTGTACTGGATCCGTCCGTGGCCACTGTGAACCTGAGTCAGAAGGGCCCTGGTTCTGGGTCAGGCATCTTTTTATTACTTCGAAGCCAACGTTTTTTGAATTATCACCTAAAGGAATGCATACCTTTTGGGTTTCTGCTTGGAAATGTCTCAGGTATAGTGCTGTTGAGGATGGTGGCGGGAGGCTGGGCCTGGCTTCCCTGTGGCTGGCTGTGGGCCTCAGTCCCACAGAAACTGTCCCTTTGCAGAACTGAGGAATTGGACAGGACGTGTTTGTGGCACCGTCTGGCTCTGAAAGTCTGTGACCGTGCGCCCTGGGATGAAGGAGAAGGCCTTGGAGAGTACCTGGCATGGGTCCTCAATCATATTAAACAAGGACTTTCCCCTAAATGAACCAAGTATCTGTTTTGCCAAATGTCTCAGTCCCTGCTGATGTTGAGCTCGGTGGCTTCGTGAGGCAGCCCTGCTTAGCTCAGGGTACAGATGTCCACGGGGCATCCTGCCAGCTAGTGGGGGCCAGGAGGGGGGAGCTGGAGACAGGAGAGGGCTCAGGGCCTCTCCACTGGAAACCAGCATGGTCCAGCCTGCACTTGGACGCTCCAAGTTCTTGGCTGAACATTTGTGTTGTTTGAATCCATTAATCTGTCTCTCTCCTCTCCCCACCACCAACCTTGCTTTTAGAAGGTCATTAATATTCATGTGTAAATTTAAAATAACACAAAAAGCTGACTCCCCACTTCCTGCCCCGCAGGCCGTTTTCTTCCTTGGCCCAAGTGCAGTCCCCGGGTGGCAGCTTGGTCAATGCAGCCCTGTGTGCAGGCCTGCCTGCCCCAGCCACCCCCACCCTGCCCTCGGCCCCCATTGGCTGCCTGGGCCTGCAATGGGACTGCACAAGGGACCCACGCCCAGAGGAAGGAATAAAAGGCCATCCCTCCCCACCATTCCTGCCACTCAGGACACTGCCGCCAGGAGGTGACCACAAAGAGCGAAGAGCGACCAAGATCACACGTGAGGGGGGAAAGCCTGCTCTTTGGGGGGCTGGGGTGGGGCAGGGATCCCAGAAGGTGGGTTGGAGAACTGGGTGGTAGTTCAGAAAGCCCCTTTAGGAGAAGTGCAGCATTTCAAAGTGTGGATTTTACTACTGCGTTGTGGACATGACTGCCTCAAGCCTAGACAGCTAGAGGTTCATTTTGCCCATGTTTTTAGTACCATAAATTGGAGAAACCTCGGGTCTGGTGATTGCTGACATTTTCCCAGAAGTAATGCAAATATTGATTCTCCCCTCTTTGAAGAGGAGGGTTTTTGCTTCCGCAGGGCTGAGGACGGGCAGCCTGATGCTAGGTTAGCCCTCTCTTACAGATGAGTGTTTTCTCTCCTTCCTCCTGCCCCAGCCCTGGGCACGCACTGCTTCTCAGTGTTCCCGTTTCCCTCAAAGGGAAATGTCAGGGCCTCTGCACACCCACTCAGAAATTCCATGAAAACTGAGAGGTCTTCACAAGTGAATTATAAATTGGGTCAAGGAAATCGGGGTTTATGGTGGGTTTAACTTTCATCAGTCTGATCATTTCTCAAGTAGGTAGGGCCCCTTCCTGAGAGGGAACCCTCACATCATGTGCGATGTGTTAAAGCCCAAAACTTCTCTTGTTTTCGACATAAAAAGATTAACACAGGAATAAGAGGCTAATTGAAGCAGGAGTGACAGTCATAGAATGAAGTGCAAAAGGAACATGGATATTTGATTTCCATTTCTCTTAAAAGATGAGCTTTACACCATCAATTGTTTCTTAGTCAACGGGAAGAATTTAACAGGGAAAATAAATTAATTAACTTCTAGTATGGTTTTAAAGAAAATCAGATTTTATGGAGTTTTAAAACATATGAAGTATATTTTCCATGCTTTTCCTTTTAGAAAAATCCCACTAGTCATACTTCACACACACAAAAAAAATTACCTTCCTCTTCCCCAAAACATCATGAATTTTGAGAAGCATCAGGGTAATATAAAAGGTTTCGTTTTCTTTTTTTTATTATTGATTTTAGAGAGAGAGAGGAAAGGGGAGGGGGACATTGATTTGTTGTTCCACTTATTTATGCATTCATTGGTTGATTCTTGTATGTGTCCTGATTGGGGATCAAACCCGCAACTTGACATATTGGGACAACACTCAAACCAACTGAGGCTTGTTTTGTTTCTTTTTTTAAAAAAATCAATAATTGAAATTTGAGTGCAAAGGATAAGAAAGTAGGAAATGTTAAAGATTTTCATCCATCTGAATTGTCCTACGGGTATATGACATATCTCTTACTAGGGACTTAAAACCAAGTATAATGATAATTAATGGTGTGACTTTGGCAAAAATCAGGCCAAGATGAAAACCCTCATTTCTCTTTCCCTTGGGAAGTCAGAAATAAAAATTCAAATATTTTATTCCAAGTTATTTTTAAGATGTGACATACTCAACATGGGAATGATTTTTCCACAAGGAGATGTAACTCTTGTATTTATCTTTCACTATAACGGTACTAGGATTCTGTAATAAGAAGAATTCAAGGTCTAAAGTCGGTAAATTCCTCTGGCCGAGTGTCTCAGTTTTGTGAAACAATTGAAAAACTGTCCTTTGTAAAATGTGCCTAACCCCCAGGTTTGAACAGGAACTCCTTCAGTTCACAGGCCGTGGTATAAGGTGCGTGTGGAGGGAAGCAGAAGGTTTCTGACTTTGTCAACTGCAGAGAAACACTTAGGAGGGAATAAGCGGCCTTTTCCCCATTCACTGAGGCAGCACCTCCCTGGATCCTAAAGAAAGACCTGGCGGCGGCTCCTGCTGCACCTGCCTGTTCCTGAGCGGAACCAGCTCAACTGTATAACCTGATAATACGTTTTTGTTTCTAGTAGGTCAAAGTACCTTTCACTGATGTTCTTTTTCAAAAAATGTGTGGAAATTCTACCATATTAATTTTTCCAGTGAAGATTTTTTTTACTAAAAAAATGAGTTAAATTTACATATTAGTTCAAAGGAAAGCAAATTCCTACATTTTGTGATCTTTAAAATCTTTTGAAAAGACCTACACACTTTTCATGCTAAACATATTCCTAGTAATACGTATGTGCTGCTGTGTGAATGGAATTCTCCTCCTGTCTTCCAATTGTTTATTGACAGAACATAAGACGACTATTGATGTTTGTACCCTCAGTTGGCTCCTCGTCACCTTACTTCTTTCTTATTAATTCTAACAGCCTGCAGCACTGCTCTGCTCTGCTCAGCTGCACTGTCACTGACTTGGGGCCCTGCCAGGGCAGAGGGTGCCCAAGGTAGGCGGCAGGGATCAATCCCAGAACTCCTTCACTGCTCTGCCTTCATATTTTTAAAAGATTTTTAAACTGATTTTTAGAGACAGAGGAAGGGAGAGAGAGAAACATCAATGTGAGAGTGAAACAGTGATTGGCTGCCTCCTGCACACCCCCTACAGGGGATTGAGCCCCAAATCCAGGCATGTGCCCTGGCCTGGAATTGAACTAGCAACCTTTCGATGCACGGGACGATGCCCAACCAACTGAACCACATGAGCCAGGGCTGCCTTCATATTTTCGCTGGAGTTTCCCATTAGCCAAACCCAATCAGAATCCAGAGGGCCTGGCAACTCGTCAAGGTAGCCAACAGGGGCAGAGAAAAGGGGCAAAGGGGGAAGAGTGGATCTAAAAGGTGGATGGGAGACTGGTGACCACTGAGCAAGTTCCGAGCTTGACATTGGAGCTGAACCAAGGCTGGCCCAGCCCCCTCTTCTGGGTGGATGTCTGTATAGGTAACATGTTAACTGTTCTCTGTGAAACAAGGCAAAAAGCATGAGAAGGCATCTTTCCTCTGTGGGCCCCTAGGATGTCTGAGCTGGAGAAGGCCGTGGTGGCCCTCATTGATGTTTTCCATCAATATTCCGGAAAGGAGGGCGACAAGCACAAGCTGAAGAAATCCGAACTCAAGGAGCTCATCAACAACGAGCTTTCCCATTTTTTAGAGGTGAGTCTTTTAAAATCGCCAGTTTATGCATTTTCCTCTCCACTTCTAAAACCACCTGTGCACTTCCTCTCTGAGCAGACATGAAGGCGATTCCGGGTCTGTTTCAGGACTCCTAGGTTGCTTCTGGAAACTCGTTTGCACGATTGAACCCTCATTATGGAGCTTAGTTGAACCGTGTTGTCTTCATTTTCATTTGTTTTGTATGTAGTAGGAACATCAAGAAAAAACTGCTGTCTCAAAGGCAAAAGTAGAGATTCTAAATAATGCTGACATTTCTCTGAAAAAATCTAAGGATTTACAGCAGGGATGGCAGACTGGATGGAAAATAGACTCACAACTTATCATGGGCCATGTGCATATAAAGAAGATGTTAAAGATAAGTTTTTGTTTCGGGGAAAAGCACTATTTTAGCTTTAGCTAGATGTTCAGCATCCACCTAAGTCAGTGGTCGGCAAACTGCAGCTCGGCAAACCGCGGCTCGCGAGCCACATGCGGCTCTTTGGCCCCTTGAGTGTTGCTCTTCCACAAAATACTGGCTCTTCCACAAAATGCACTCTGCACATGGGCCACGAAGTTTCAATCTCACTGTACATGCACGCCCGCATGTGGTATTTTGTGGAAGAGCCACACTGAAGGGGCCAAAGAGCCGCATGTGGCTCGTGAGCCGCGGTTTGCCGACCACGGACCTAGGTGATAAAGATGCCGTTCACTGAGCAAATATTTACCGACCACTCATTACGTTCACTACTGGGGAGACACAGGCCCAAGGACATGGCCTCTGCTTCGGAAGCACCCAGGCTGGCACATCCATGGAGGACCACAACCTACTTGACTGAGGGCAGGAGGCCTGGGGGCTTGCAGGGGGCTTCATGGAATAAGAGACAGTGGAGAGGACCCTAACTCAGGAAGCTGCATGAGGACTCCTGATGAGCCCTCCTCTCCCACACCGGTCCCACTCTGATCTGTGGTAAAAGAATGTCCAGACACCTCCTGGAGGACTCACTTCCCTACCCACTAGCTCCTGCCCTTGGATCAGCCACCCATCATCTCCATTGCACACCAGTCTTACACCCCCAAGGTAACGAACTGCAATCTACCTGGTGCCTGACCTCCCCTTAGTACCCAGAACCAAGGTTCTGAAGTGACCAATCACACACAGGGAGAAGGCCAGCCAATGCACCAGTGCACGGATGTCTGACCAGGAGCTAATTCCGGGAAAGACACCAGAGCATCCTGTGGGATGGTGATGGTGATAGGGAGCCACCATCCCAGCCAGCTGAGCCTCTCGGTGCAGGGTGAGCCCCAAGTTCCAGCATCAGGGCAGCACCCATTGTCTGCAGCTGGCTTGGTTCTCCCGTCCCACCTCCACGCAAACACTCCAAGGCTCTGAATGGCACCACCAGAGCAGAGGAAGTGACTTGCAGGCTTGGGCGGCGGGGGAGGGGGGGGGGCGGGACGGAAGTGGGTGGAGGAGGCATCCCCTAATCTGATTCTGGGACTGATTTCTCAGGCAGTCAAGTCCTAGTGGCAGCTGCCTCACTCACATGTTTAATTATTCAGTCCCACCAATCCTGCCTTCTAACTTAATCGAAGTCCCAGTTACTTCTGTAAAAAGGATTGTTGTGAGGATGAAATGATAGTTTTTGTCAAGTGCTGCCTTAACATATAGTGAAAGTTCAAGAACCAGTTAACTGCAATTGATTTTAAAATATAGAAGAAGCTTAGCATGTGGTACCCACAATTTATAAAAGATAAGTAATTCAAGGTAAGTATGCCAAGGTATCATGAACGTTTGTTGGCTTGGCTTTATCAAGGTGATTTTGGTTAGGAGGCAAACCAATAGTATAATTGAAATAATACACTGCTGCCATCCATCTTCTAACCTATGCTTATAGGTCCCGCCCAACCCCTGCTGGAATCTCAGTTTTTACATGTTTTATTTTAAAAAATATATATTTATTGATTTCAGAGAGGAAGGGAGAGGGAAAGAGAGAAAGAAACATCAATGATGAGAGAGAATCATTGAATGGCTGCCTCCTGCATGCCCCACACTGGGTATTGAGCCCGCAACCTGGGCATGTGCCCTGACTGGGAATCGAACCATGACCTCCTGGTTCAACCACTGTGCCACGCCGGCTGGGCTCAGTCTTTCACGTGTTTTAGATTAAAGGCAGCCACTGAACATTATACCAGACTTCCTCAGGCCAACCTCCCTGCACTGGGGATTGTTCTTCTGAACAACCTGCCTGATGCTCTTTTTCAGTGAAAATGCCACATTCTCACATGGTTATGGCCCTGCACCGTGTTTGTTCCTCAGAGACTTTGTAAGACTATTCACTTGGCTTCTGTGTTGGAAGAACTGTCGGAAAAAGTTCCATGACACCTAGAAAGCAGCTCAAGTGGCAAAAAGAACACATGGAGTTCACAAATTTAGGGCATGCTAAAGAATTACTTCAACAACAAAAAACAAAACAAAAAAAAACCTTTCAAAGCATAAAAATCCATGGAAGCCTTTATTGTGGGGACTGCTACACACAGAAACTGACAAATTTAGGGGGGCCAAAAGTTCTTTTTTTCTTTCAAGACATTTTCCTATAATATACTCTGGCTGATCGATATGCTATTCTTCTTTTTTTAAGTATAGTGATAACAACCTGCAGGTTTTCAGATCTTGGTTGTTCCATTCAGTCTTTACAAATAGCCCAGGTCCCACTGGACCTAAAGTAAGATAGAGAAGGCACAGACCCCTGGACAACAGTCCTCTGGTCCCAGGAGAAATCTTCCTGGTATTTTGCATTTTATATCTTAGGTTGTTTCTGATACCGATTTTTTTAAGCCAGCCAACTTTTAATCATGTTTTGATGGCCTTAAATTTCATTTAAAAACAAGCTGGGTGACTGATTTCTCGTAGGAAATCAAGGAGCAGGAGGCTGTGGACAAAGTCATGGAAACACTGGACAACGATGGAGATGGCGAATGTGACTTCCAGGAATTTGTGGCCTTCATCGCCATGGTTACCACCGCCTGCCACGAATTCTTTGAACACGAGTGAACTAGAGAAAGCAGCCACGCTGTTCCTGTAATAGAGGCGAAGGTCACACAAGGAAGCAGAGAGTAAGGGCTTGCAGGCTAGTAGGAGCTGAGCTTTCCGGCTGTGTTTGTAGCAATTAGGAAGCTTCATTTGCTTTGTGAATGAAAAATTGAAAATCTCTTTCCAAGGGCTGTTTTTAATGGCCCCCATCATTACTTCTGCTATATTAGGCATACGTGTTAGCTGACTGGTCCCTAGAACTCCTGGTAATATCATGTAGGAAAGTCAATTCTCAGTCAGAAAGCCTGGGCTATACAGAATCCTAACCCAGAAAACACAAAACTGACTACCAAGAAGGATTCGGGACATTTGTGGTTTCCTTAAGTCTCCACTTCATTTGAAACCACAAAGCTCTATCCAACCTTTGAAAAGGCTGCCATTTCTTAAATTTGTTCATCATCAGTGCCAATGGAACCTAACGTAGTTAGATGGTGTGAAAACAGATCATGGTCTCATTTAGGTCCCTTTAACTGTGGTGAGCTGTGATTACTGAGTAGATATTTAATGCTAACAGTTCTAAATGGGAAAACGTGTCCCATAAACCAACAAGTACTGAAACCTTAACTCTAATCAACACTGAGAAGCAAAATTCTATCTTCCGTGGAATTCTCCTGGTAGGCTCACACTTTGCTGGATCTGTGGGACCGGCGTTTTGCAGGATGGGCAGGTCCAGGACCAACGTTTCAGACCAGCCCCCCTCTGGAGATGAGTGCACTGCAAGTAACTTAGTCTCTCCAGCCTCCTCTCCTGTCTGTGCGATGATGGGCTACTACTGATGTGTGTGGTCTGTTGGTGAATGTCACTCCTGACTTGTTTGTGCTGTTGGCGAAGTCAGTGTACTTGGAAAGCTGAACTTTATGCTCCTGTATCTACGAATTCAAATAAATCAAGTTTCAAATAATCGTTACAAATATTAAAAATCACTTCCAGGAAAATTCAAATTAATCTTATCCACCTCTTTTCCTGTTCTGTTTTATTTAAAGACACAAACTTCATAAAACCATTGATCGCTTGTATTTGCATTTAATAAAAGAGCACTGTGCTAAGTCTCCGTAGCCGTTAAACATGAAATAAAAACGAAATACCTGCAAAATGGGAAGAGGAGTAAAGTCGAGGGGGCCTGGCTTTCCTCACGGCTGCAGATAGTGCGTTCACCAAGGCCAGGGCGGGTGCACCGGTGGGTGGGCACGGGATACGGACCTCACGAAGGCGGCGGGGCGCGGAGGGGCGGGGTGCGCAGAGGACAGCGTAGTGGCGGGGGCGGGCGGGGCAGGGAGGAGGGAGAGGCGGGGCGAGGGGAGGGAGGCGGGGCGTGGAGGGCGGACGGGGCGGGGCACACGTGGTGGGACGACCTTCCCTGGACCAATCGCCACGAAGGGTCCTGCCCAACAAGAACAGGTGGGCTGTGGCGCTCGGGGCTGGCACTGAGTTAAGGTCTTCGGGTCCAGCTCCGCCGCTGGCTCAGCTACGCCCCCCAGGCCGGGGTCCCCGTGGTCTCCTTGCCGGAGTCTGGGGGCGCGGGCGGGGGGGGGCTCGTCTCTGTTCTGGCGGGTTTGTTCCCGCGGGGTCACCCTCCAGGATCCTCGGTCCTGCCCGCAGACCCAGTAGAGAAAGCTGGGTGGTGGCTGCCGTTTCAGAAGCCCCTCGGGGGTGTTGCCTGCTGGCTGGACTGGGCCAGCTGCCCCTCCGGGGAGACCCCAGCTGCCCCCGGCCGAACAGGTGAAGCAGTGCCCACGCCCCAGGGGAAACGCGAAGCCTGCGGTGGAGGAGCCCCTCGCACTGGACGCAGCCAGGGGAGGGCTGGAGGCACCGCCGGAAGTGAGGGCCCCCAGGGCTGGGAGGGCTGCAGGTCAGGGGCCGAAGGAACTCGGCCTTATCCCCAGGGGCGTGGGACCCTTTTGTTGAGCAGAGGATCCCATTTGTTGGTCCTGCACTGACAAGTGCTGTCAAAGGGTCTGAGCCCTGCAGGGGGCGCTCCTGGGCTTTCCAGCAGAGGCGGCAACAGCAGGGGGTCTCTGGAGAGAAGGGGGCGGGGGTGAGGAGACTTGGGCCAGTCTGGGAGCTGTTCAGGACCCCAGTGTGAGTGGACGTCCGGGGCACCACCCGCCGCTCCAGACGGGTCAACCTGGGAGGACCACGGGCCCACGCTCAGGTCAACACTCTGCTGTTGCTGCCTTGAAATATTTGGTAATTTATGGACGAGGGGCCTGGCGTTTTCATTGTGCGTTGGGCCCTGCAGATTATGCACCCCGTCCTAGGCCATGGTGGGACACAGGAAGGGGAGCTGGCTGGGGAGGCCCAGAGTGAGTCTGTCGGACTCAGCCCGAGGGCAAGCATAGATACACCCTGTGCACGGAGGGGTCAGGGAGAGGGAGGTGGGTGGTGGGTTGGCTCTGAGCTGTAGTGTGTGGGGTGTCTGTACCCGGCCAGCTTGCCTTCAGACCGCGTCTCTACGCTTGCTTTCATCACCAGAGGACAGCCCTGCTGCTTTAGCCAGAAACTGAGTAGGTCCTTCCTGGTACCTCCCTTGTCCTTATTGATCCCAAGAATCCTAAGATGACTCGGTTCCCAGATGACACCCTGCTTCCTAAGCAGAGGAAAGACCTGGAGTGTACCGGCCACCAAGGGGCCTGCCAAGTGCAGCTGCTGTGTTTGCCTTCTGACCCCACACCCAGGGGATGATGTACCTTTACCCCAGGAAGACTTCCTCTGCACTGCACAGCCATCCTCAGGGGCTCCTGGGGGCTTCCCGGCACAAACTATGGTGAGCTCCAGGTTGTCAATGTCCATCCTCCTCCTCTGACCTGTCCTCAGCTGAGAGGGACCTGCTCTGACCGAGAGGCACTGTCTGGTTCCATGAATGGGTGGTGATGGTCCCCACATGGCCCACTGGGCGCTGCCTCAGACATCTCTAGGGAGAATCAGGTCCCTATAGAGGGAACTCTGAATTTAAAATGATCTCTATTGTCCCATCATGACCCAGTTCAGCCACACAGAATTCCCTGTGCCCCATCAGTTATTTTAATCCACAAGATAGGGCCAAAGTAGCCCAGAGAATGTCCCTGACAGCAGCATTAAGGCTCTCAGGCCAGAGATGGAGACCGAGCAGAGGATCCCATTTGTTGGTCCTGCACTGACAAGTGCTGTCAAAGGGTCTGAGGCCTGCAGGGACCCAGCTTCCACTCAACCGTGTGGACCATCCCAGCATGTACTGCTGTTCCTGCTCCAAGTCTGGGCAACACAGCTGTCAGACTTTTCCGCCACCGAGAGGAGGCATCCTCATCTCTTTATCATGAAGGGGGAACACATGGCCTGGAGTCTCCACAGAGAGCTCCCAGCAGGCACAGGGACTTCAGGAAGGCCCTGGATTCCTGAGCCATTCTTCCCTCGTTCACCCTGTCCCTGCCCCTGGGGAACAATGGGGGGAGGGACATTGAGGTTGGACAGGCCAGGGCTCCACCTGTCCCCCTTACCTTCTCTGGCCCTGGAGTCTCCCAGGGGCCTCTACCAGCTGGCCCTCACGCACAATTGTAGATCATCACCTCCACAGGATTGGTCCTGTCCTAAGCAGACCATGTCTCCTACAGCCACCAAAGAAAGTACATTTTCTCCCAGGCCACCTGGGGCTACTCTGGGTGTCTTCCTTGTGCAGTTTATGTCCCAGCAGGACACCCCTGCAGCTCTACCCTGCAAGACCCCACCCTTGTCTCCAAGGCAAGAGGGGCCCTTCAACTCTCACACACCAGCTGAGGCCCTGGAAACAGTTTGACAACTCTTCCCAGGAAGTTCTGGGAAGACCCACAACTCTGTCCCATGAGGCTCCTGGGTTTGATTGCTGTTGTTTCAGAGTTTTTATTTATTTTTAGTTCAAATTTATCAGATTCAAATTCAGTAAAAAAGTTTTGATGAACACAAAAGGTTAAAATTAGGGGTTTAGATGACAATCACATGAGCCTCAGTAGCCAATTTACATGTGTAATTTCTTATTGGTTGCATAGTGTTGAGATTTTCTTGATCAGGATGTTTAATTTTGGAGATTTCATCCCTCTCTGACCCAGACATAACTTGGGTTCTTATCACTGCCGATCTGGCCAGATGAGATTCTGGCACAACCTTTTTCCTCTGTTTGATGAGAAAAGGAGTGGCTTTTTAAAAGAGTGTGAAAAATAAACATCATTCAAGCAAGTTGGCAGGAGGCAAAGCAGGGAGGTTTGGGCACAGGCTGGACATGGGGTAGAGCCTAGGCTGAGGCCAGCAACCTCAAGATCAAAGCCCAGTGCCCCCAGGCTCTTGAAGACCCCCTCACCCCAACCCCCGCATTGAACATCCAGTCCCTGGAGACCTTTCACACAGTGAAGACTGCCCCTGAAATTTTCCCCTCTGAGGGGCTGGGGAGAAAATGCTGAGTCACATGGGCCCCACAGCTCCTTCCACACAACTCTACTGGGGGCCTGTTAAATATCCCAAGTGACACATCTCCCAGATCTGGGATGGGGCCATGTCTGGCTGGTGACTGTTTTAACAAGAACTCAGGTGATTCTCAGCCTCAGGAAGTTAGGAAGCACTGGGTTGGTAAGGCAGAACTGCCTGCCTATATGGTCCTTACAGAGGAATTGTGCCCGCCCTCTCACTTGATTAGACTTTGTGCAAGGCATTGGATAGGGAAGACCTCACCATCTTGGGGACCCCTGAGCAGGGACATCACAATTTATATAGTCTTATAATTACCTTTTTACCAGTACTGTTTTTTTCATGTGAATTGAAATTACCATCTGAAATCACTTGCTTTCAGCCTGAAGAACTTTAGTATTTCTGATAATGTAGGTCATCTAGGAACAAATCCAATCTTTTTACCTGAGAATATATTATGCCTCCACTTTTGAAAGATAGCTTTGCTGGATATACAAGTCGTAGTTGAGGTGTTTTTTTTCTCTGAGTTCTTTGAGCATGTTATCCCCCTGCCTTCTGGCTTCCATTATTGCTGGTAAGAATTCAGCTGTCGATTTACTGGAGTTCTCTTGCAAGTGATAAGTTGTTTCTCTCTTGCTAGACCCAGGCATCTCTGAGTGACACCCCTGCTTTAGGAGCTGAACACTCCTAAAGTGGAGTGGGGGGCAGTAGCCAGAGGTCTTCTGTCTGCATCTCCTGGCATGGCACCACCAACTTATGAGCTGGACAAGGCCAGTCAGAGCCCCTGTATTCTCGGTGACACTTCATCCAAGGTAGGGGCTGCATTCCCTGAGTGGAGGCTGGATGGAAGAGATCTCCCAAGATCAGTCTTGGTTCAGATAACAGATTCTTGGTTTTCTTACTGAACTTTCATGCAAAGATGTTTTTCATTTGCTGTATGCCCTTAGGACCATTTCCAAAGGCTTTAAGTGGTTGGTTTTTTAACAGTGATTTTCACCTGTTATTCTGAATAGCATGTTCACAGAGCTTCTCAGGCTGTCGTGCCAGAAACTGATCTTTCCCTATTTTTTAATGTAAAGTAAGTGCTAAACACTGCTCATCTTTGAACTTGTGCTGCACTCTGTCAGCATGCAACAACAGCTGATAGGGGGCCTTCATTCTCCTGCTCTCCATCTGCAGCCTATGGCAGCATCTGGGTGTACCCACCTGGAAGCCCAGCTCACTGTTGCTGGGAGTGGCAATCCATCTCCCCTCAAAGCTTCATCTGGTCCCTCATTGTCCTATTTCAACTTCTGCTTTTAAGCAGTATCTGTAATGATCATTCATTTGGCCTTTTCAGTGACTTGGAGAGTCTGGGGAACAAGGTACGCTATACTTAATTGGCACTTAGAATTAGTAATAAGCTCTCAGTTTCTCACTTTGCACTGCCCTTGGAAAACTCCACAAGGTCCTTCCTAAACATTTCACAGACTCATGTAAATAGGTTCCCTCATTAAACTCTGAAAGACAGAGCTGGATGCAGGAAACCGGGGCAGTGAGCACCCAGAGCTTCAAGCCTGGCATGAACTCTTACCCCCACTCCACCTATGGGAAGGAAGCCTGAGGCAGGAATTGTAACTGCAGATGTGCACACACACATCTGGG